AAGGAGAGAAATTCACCTCCGATTCCAATCTGACTGGGGTCTGATGTGTCACACTCCACACATGCCTTTGCATCTCTGTTATCTTGAAAAAGAGCCATAGGTGGCTATTTCAGATGATGGCTTTTGATATCTGAAGTTGCATCAGATGAAACTCACCAAGACTGCCCGAGGCTGGAAAATGGAGGGAGAAGTCTCAAGGATCAGCACAGAGTCTCCATCACAAAACCAGCCCAGCTCTATCAATCACGTGTGCTGGGAACCTGGTCTGTGTTTACCACAGTAGTATTGCTAGGATTGTGTGCTTGGTTCTTTTGTGTTTTCAAATGATAAATTTCTGGCTTTCAAGAGAAAGCTATACCAATCATTTGTTTGTTTTTATAACTAGGTGCCTAATATTTCGAGTCTTGCGTTTGTCTTAGTCACCAAAGGAATAGTGACCTGATTTCAGGGCTGCCAAAGCCTGATGGATTTTTGTTATGACTCATACATTCTAGCTTCACTATTGCATGTTTCACATAAATTTGCAAAGGTCTTTGTCCTCCAGTTGCCAGATTGGACCAGGCTGGATGAAATAAGGAGGGTGGAGGGCCAGATGGTACTGAAGTGAGCTTTGGAGGTACTTTTAGAAGAAGAGCTAGGTGGTGTGAGTGAAGCAGATAGCCTATTACCCAAGCATCCCAGTCTCAGGGTATGAAAATATGCTCCAGGAAGATAAAAAGATTAAAATGGGCTGTGGACCGCAGGACAGCACCACAGTGAAGAGAGGCTGCTTCACAGAAGTATGCAGTCATGATGGACTGAAAGCCTAAGGCATATCTGGAAGGCTAATAGCGTTTCTGTACCACTAGCTTTTCTGATGATAAGGTCCTTCTAGATCAGTAGGTTTCAGCACAGCGCTCTGTGCGCTTGCAGGCATGCGCAGGCTGCTTCTCAAGGATCCTCAGCAGGCAGCTAAGGATGTGTCTATGTGAGTGTTTTCTGGTGATGAAACGTACCCTTTTGAGGTGAGTCTTCTGGTTGTCCCCATTCACTGTGCTTTGGTTCAGCCTGGCCGGAGCACACATGGTTTTGGATGGCCTGTCCCAGGAGGTGCTCTGCAGGTGCACAGCTGGCACACTTCACCCACAGACGGGTTCAGGCCACAAGACCAGGCTGTGGCTAGCCAGAAGTAACACCCTCCAAATGCATGGGGTGTGGATGTTGGGTCCTGCGTACCCACTGTTCCACTCAGCAGCTTGCCTTTACGGCGCTGTACTGCTCTCTCATGCAGATGCTGCCCAAGGAAACTGGAGTGTGGTCAGTAAGCTTGAAATCACTAGGTAGCAGTCTCCACCTCCCAGGGAAAAAAAAATAGAAAAAGCTGAAAGCCACTCTTCTGGGTCGGTTCTAGAAGATTTTCCATAAGCAAATGGTACATTGTTTTAACACTAGTGCTCATCTCAGAAGACTGCATAATTTGCTGCTTGAGTGTGTGTCTGCGTTGCTGGCTGCCTGCCCTTCCCAGGTGCGTTTGTGGATGTGTGAAAGCTGTACCAGCCCCAGGGTGTGGAGCACGTTCTGAACAGAAACAGCTGAGTATTTAACAGCTGCATATCTGGGTATCGGCTTCCTTTCGGATGTGCATTGGCTCCTCTGTTGAGTGCATTTGTATAAATTTGGATCTATGGATTTGTTTAAGCACTGCACAGACCCTTGCGTTGAGTACAGGTGACTTAAAGAGTAGAGCCTCCTTCCTGGGAGTGGCTGGCAGGCACGAGTTTTAAGTGCAGTTATTCATTTTAAGGAATTAGAGCCTGAAAAAAGTCAGTGTGGCACAGCTCCATGATGTTCCTATTTTTAATTGGATTTTGAAGCTCATAATTAATTTGTTAAAAAGGAGGAGATCCTGGCCCTGTAGAAGTGAGTGGGAGTTTTGCCATTGCCTTCAGCAGAGGAGGATTTCACCATCTATCCTTTTATTCTCGCTAATCCTCTGCAACAAAAGAAGAGCAGCCTGGCACGTGGAAAGGATCCTTCCCATTTCTTCTCCCTGCCGTTGCCAGTAGTGAGCTAGGAGGACCCTCCCCCCTCCTCCCGTCCCATGCTTCCTACATATGTACACCTTGGCAAGATGCGCTTTCGTTTCATCTTCGAGTAAGGTGAAAGCAGCCATTAAAGAAGCAGTTTGTTCTTAATCTTCATGTGCAGTGATATGGAGGTCTCTCTCCTCCTGCCCTCTCATGTTTTTGCGTAGCGGCAGGAGGGTGGGAAATCTAACCCCTTTGAGGTCTCTGGGTCAAGGAGCCGTCTGACATGGCTTTAAAGGTCACCTTGCTCCTTTGCATTTGTCATGTGCCATGTGGAGCACTGTATGCCAGCCTGCTGTCTGGAGCACAAAGAGGTGCTGTCTGACATTTTGTGGAGCAGGGCTTGGGTTACAGAGGAAAAGCATCTGAAAACAAAACTCAGCTCAGGGCTGTGCAAGGCCAGACCAGGAACACTTGAGAGAGGAGCCCCTGCAGCAAGTAACAGAGATATGTGGCATCCCATGGGTTTACCAGTAATCATGCTTGGCATTTCTGTCTCTCATAACCTATATATAGCACTGTACATTTTCAAAGCTCTTGACAAATGTTAACAAGCCAAACTCGGTTTCAGTCCTAATAGCCCTTGTTTCACAGAAAGCCCAGGATGTTTTTACTTCGCCCTTCTGCTCCGTCGGCGACTGTAGCCTTCAGACTGGCTGTACCTGCCAGATTTGGCTGAGCAGTTGTCTTCTGCCTTTGCTTTGTAGCGTGTGTAGCAAACATATGCTGCAAGGAGGTTTGTCTGCCCTGCTGTCTCCACTCTAAGGTAGGCACTAGAGAGCGTCAGAGAACTGAGGAAGCTGAATTATCATTGAGGCTTGTTTACACAGCTTTTAAAAATAACGTGTGAACTGTTCAGACAAAGCCAGTGCACCATCATAGACATGACCAGGGCTGGAGAAATGCCTTTTCTCAGCGAAGTGGGGAGCAGATGCAGTATGCCAGGTAGCATGTCAAGGGCTGCAGGGGGGAGAGAACTGCAACTGCAGCTCTAGTGTCTGGGGCCAGCACTGGTGACAGTGTTTGAATTGCAGTTGAGTAACCAGCCCAGAAACAAGACACCAGCACTTGGCGCACTAACAAGAAATTTCTTGCCTTTTCTTTTTTTATTCCTGAAGAAATCCCATTAAAAAAAAAAAAAAAAGAACAAAAGGCAAGTCTGCAGAGATGACCAGGCAGGCACAGTCTAAGTGGGGTGGTGTTATTGTTGGCTTGGTCCATTGTCCTGTTGGGCATTTTCCCGTGGTGGACTGCGGCACACAGCAGAGACATCCAGACTGGCCTTTCTGCATTCAGGGACTGAGGGACAAATGGATATTTTGGCTAAGTCTTGCTGGCTGCTACCCCCTCTTCATTGCTTCACCCCAATGAATCCTTTAATTGAGCTACTGAGCCAAAGAAACTTCTCAGAGGCCAGTAAAATGGTTCAACTCCTGTTAACATCTCAGCCCTCTCTGCTGTTCTCTCTGGAGCAGATGACCATGGTGCAACAGAGCTGCCTGTGCAGTAAGTCTGCAGAAACTCACTCACCAGAGAACAGCTTTTTTTTTCATGTATTTTGATGCAATTCTCTTGCCCTCTTCACTTTTCTTGCTCTTTTGGCCTCTCCGATTTGTCACCTTGAAATACACAGGTCTCCCATAATCAGATCTCACTCCCTTACTTGCTGAATAGACATGCTAAATATAGAAATCTGCGTCTCTGCACTGAGAAATTTGTCTGCTGTGGCCAAGTGATGGTTTCACGTGACTGGCATAGAGAGGTCATACAGACTACACCTTCAGTTTGGTCAGTCGTGGGATTTTTAGAATCACTTTCACAGCAATTTTAAGAACAGATAAGTAAGTAATAATCCCTTCTCTGTTTATAATTCCCAGCTTAGAAGCTTGGTGGTGAAAGTGATTTTTTGTCTGCGTTTTATCTCAACTCCCTCCTCTTCTAATGCATCCATACGGTGCTGAATGCGTGGGGAACAGTGACATGGAGTTTATATAGGAGGAGATGTACCGGAGCATTCGTTCTGTGGGGAGATGATAAATTTGCATGCAATGAATACATGTGCAGTGCATAAGAAAAGGGGAGGCACGAGACCTTGGAATTCTCCATCAGAAGGTGATAATGACTCCACAGATGTTACAGCGTGGCAGACTTTGATCCGCAGAGACTGGTTTGCGTTAGAACATGGGTATCTGTGAACACAGCAGACTGGAATCTCTCCTGTCTTATCACTGCAACCGTTTCACTACCTTCAGTGGTATGGTTAGTATTTCGGGGCAGGATAACAGCTGATAAAGGTGTAGTGCAAAAAGCCTGAAGGACCAGCTGATTTAAAGAAGAAAATATTTCTCCTCTCACACTCACTGTCCTGACGCATAATTTCTTGAACCAAAGAACAGGTTTTGTTGTCAGAAGCAACTAAAGAAGGTGCAGTCCTAGGGGGCAGCAGGCATGAAAGCTTGAGGGGAATGGCAGCCAGGGTAAAGCATGCGATGCAGTGGTAGTGGTCACTCTGGAGTGGTGCACGCCTGCTATGTGGTCAGGTGTTAGTACAGTCACTCACAGGTACCACGGTAATTCAACTGGCAAGGGTAGAGTGAGCTGAAAAGCTGACTGAAAATCAGGCTCCAGCCACACAGCAGGACAGGCATCCGGGGACATTCTGAGGGCTTCTTTGAAGAATAATTGACTGGTTTTGTTAGAAACAGAAAATAAGGTTGTACAAGAATTTTAGCAGCGGTAAAATTTGGGCTGGATCCATCCTCAGTACAGTGCATCATAAGCCCTAAGTTGTTTCCGTCCTACACTGGCTATGAATTTTGAGGAGTGCTAACCTGCCTGAGTAGGACAGAGGTGAGGTGGGAGGACACAGGGCTTGCAAGTTGAGTGCTGAGTAATCCTGCTGCCATGCTGACTGTTCTCTCCTCCCCTCTGCAGGTGAGAAGCCTTACAAGTGCTCGTGGGAAGGGTGCGAGTGGCGTTTTGCACGGAGCGACGAGCTCACGAGGCATTACAGAAAGCACACGGGTGCAAAGCCCTTTAAATGCAACCATTGTGACAGGTAATGCAGCCTCCTAACACAGTGTTCAAGCAACATGTGGACTTTGTAAGTGGCATGGAGCAGCCAGCTCCCCAAGACAAGAGACCTGGCTCCCAGCAGAGGGGCTCCTTCTGGCCTCCTGTCCCACTGCCTTGATCCCCGAGCCACGGAGAGACCCTCCACTCTGCCCCTGTCCTCTCTGCCTCAGTGGCCCGGCGGGCTGGCAGAGGGGGAATACTTCCTAAGCAGCCTCAGCTATTTCCATCCCACAGCACAGAGAAAGATGTGGGACCAGGTGTAGGTCTGAGTGAAACCTGCCAGTGTCTGTTGTGGGCACAGGATTCGGTCCATAGGGCAGCTGTTCTTAATACTGTCAAAGCAGAGAAGTCCAGAGGGCCCTAGACCACTTCAGTGATGGACCTCTCAACAAAGCATCTCCACAGCTTTCCATCTCCTGGTTGTATGAGCCTCATGCCCTCACAAAGGCAGAGCTCCCTCTACCTGCTCTGCTTCAGGGGCTACCCCAAGCACCACCACTGGCTGCCTGTGTTTCGTCAGAGTGGTCAGCAGAAATACGTGGCCCCACAAATACATGGGTGTATGACTGGGGGGATGAGGAGCATGCGTGGCTATTGTGCCACAAATCTATAGGAAATGCCTAGGAGAAAAGCACTTAATTTCCGTACAATCATTGTCTTCTCTTACCACCGAGTCCAGGGCTCCATGCTTCCCCAGCTGAAACAGGGGAGAGTCAATGAAAGACAGCAAAGGGCTTCATTTTCAAAAGCACAGGAGTGATTTAGGCACACCTGACAATTCAAGTTCATGGGGTTGTTTTTTGTGATCTCTTCACATT